ACTTTTGAATATATAGGGTTTTCATTGCACTGTTTACCAGTTGACAACCAAAAATACACACTCGCTACAATTTTATTCATTTTAGAGATTTTTGTTGCTCTACAACATATAATTTTTGAAGAAAAAAAAACATTTCATTGTGCAAAGTATGCTGCGATGTTCGCTGGAGCACTTTTCGAACCGGCAAGCACGATCTTCCTGAGATATATGAAAAACAACCATTTTCACGCAGTAACGAAAGAGTTCAATTGAAGACGACGCAGCAAGCGATGAAAAGGAAAATGATAGGCATAACCTTAAGAGACAAGAAGAGAACAGAGTGAGTCAGGGAAGAAACCGGGCTAAAAAGGTATAGTTGAAATTGATAAAAAGCATTCGACATGGGTCAGGCGCGTATAGGGCGTAGCCACGATAACAGCTGGTCATTAGGGGTAACTGACTGGATTCCCAGAGAAGGCACTAGGGGTATACAGAAAGTTAGGTCGACCGATGAGATTAAAAAGTTCGCGGGTATAATGTGGCAGCAGAAAGTGCAAGACCGGGTTGATTGGAGGATCATGAGAGGCCTTTGCTCTGCAATGGGCGTAATGGGCTTGATGATGATGATGATGTGTTCGTACAGACTGCTTCTAAAAACATGGAACAAAAACTTTCAAGAGCAAGTTGTAGCCGTTCCATGAATTTAATTGATGACCAATTCATACCTTATGTGGTACTAACGAAGCCATTACGGTCTAACTTTGAGAAAAAGTAGGTTAGACAGAGGATTTACCATCCGACTTGCGACAAATGCAGGTAAGTGGACTGCGATGTGCGTATCTCTGGGACCCGCTGGTCGAGACGGTGCGATGTTAGTTAAGGTACGATGAAGAAGAGTATAGCTTCCATGTGTAAAATACCTAGCGAGATAAGTAATTATTTATTCAAATTGGAAACCATAGCTAAACAGTCAGTATATGCAGTTGTAATGCCACTATCAGTGTCTATTAAATGAATATTAATATCACCAAGAATTAAAACTTGCTTACCCTCAAGCAATATGCCCACTCAAGGAAACAGGAACAGATGAAGATGCGGAGCGGTAGATGAAATCGGGGATAAAAGTACCATTCCGCGATTTTCGCTGTACATCGATTTCAGTCCATTCCAATCCGCAGTGATGTACCTGAAGGGCAAGATTCATACAAAGAATGTATGGTAAAATACATAGGGCAGAACCAGCATGGCGATCTGAAATGCGGTGGCAGTATTAAGCTTGGTAGTTACAAAAAGCGTATAGACTAGCATGTAAACTACTGGGCCACGTTTTGAAAACACTAAATAATGAAATTGGTTGATGTAACGAGTCAACCAAAGCTCAAATTCTGTGGCAATTCCTGCGCAGTCTTCACGCGTTGAAACGAGTAAACGATGTATTTTGCTTGGTGCGAGAAATTTAGTGATTTTTGCGGTGATAACATCGAGCTCACGATGAAAACTATTCCAAAACTTGCGCTCACATAGTGTTTACGATAAGACGCAAAACTTGGCCTCTGGAGATAATCTGAAGGCCGAGTTTCGGTGGACCAGTGTGTGGCCCCGAGAGCTGGCAGCGAAGGCGTGGTATGTTGATGCACTATCACACTGCACAATCTGCTTGTCAACAGACAGACAAAAGCAGACATTGGTGAAAGTCCCGGTGAACATAGAAATGGTTAACCCACGTTGACAGCTCGGGACGGGACTATATGTTTGGCCCGTAACTTCTAAGACAGCACGAGCTAGCTGAATGTAGCTGCAGTATATAGAAAAAGAGTGAAGGCTTCGAAAGCCTCGTTGTACGTTACAGCTGCCACTCCCCCCCCCCCCCCCTCCCAAAAAGGGCTTGGCACCTTTCAGTGGGAAGCTGCCTTATTTTGTTTTCTTCAGCTTGACATCATTATTTTGAAGTCGGCGCAAAACATGCTGGATCACCGAGTCGTTGTACTCTTGACGTTTCGCTATATATACGTCATCGAAGTACACCTGCTCGGTTGGACGGCCAGCCAGGACTGTTTCCATGCACCACTGACAATCGGGAGAGCCAAGGCAGATACGCACGGATGACTTTTATAGCAGAACAGCCCCTTTTGCGTGTTTATCACGGCCAGCTTCTTCGCTTCGTCCTCCAATGGCAGTTGGTTATATGCGTCCTTCGGGTCCAATATAGTGAGAAGAGATACCCCGGGAAGCCACGCGAAAATACCCCCGGTCTTAGGCAGAGAATACTACTCAGTTATGTAGGCAGCATTAATTGTAGTTCACTGCAAGAAGCGGAGGAACCTGTCTTTTTTTTTTTCAGCAGAGCCATGATTAATGATGTCCACTCAAAATGTACCATGGACGATCGCGTACCCTCGTTGAATAAGCAAGCATTCCGGTTCCGTTTGCACTTTCTCACGACAAGCGTAAGGGATAGGCCGCGCCTTAAGGAACTTATAGGTTGATTGGGCGCCTTCTCGAAAGTGGACTTTCACTTGTGGCCCCCGAATTCTTCCGAGCCCAGGTTGAAAAAATGCGGGAAACTGCACATGGGCTGTCGGGACCTGCCAAAATCGATTGCACCGTTTCGAGGGAACCACTAGGGAATAGCGACAATTCTCCGTTTAAATCCTTTCCGCAAAGGATAAGACCACAACACCGTGGACTAGCGGTCAAAAGGGGGAGAGTTGGAACACGTCTCTTAAGGGGTCTCCAAAAGTTCCTCTGAAGATACCAAGAACGAGCTCGTTATTTTCTCCTGGCGTTCCCAGTCTATGCGGCACAATTTGTGGCGCCAGGTGTTTGTTCACGTGACGTCAGGATAAAGTGGGCTCTCGATTGATCTATTAGCGAGAGATATCGTGTGAATTTTCGCCTACCCCAATTTGTCATGCAGTCGCATGCCCGGTCAGTCTTGTCTCGCATGTCAATCGTCTTGTCTTGTCGCTTTGAAGATCTTGGCTCATACCCACTAGGAGGATTGGCCACACTGTACCTTATAATGGAATTCACTTCGTTTTCTGGGTTTGCGACTGCGCAAGCGGACGTAGCAGCGTGTGCTCTTAAAAAAGCACAAAATTCTCACTGGCTCAATGCTTAGCGCTGACAGTCCGCGTATTCGCTGCATAAATAAATGGCGACGACGAGATATCGTTAGAGGAAAGAGTATAGTGAGACAAGAAAGACACTAAAGTCTCGCCTTTAAACACGGTGCGGCTTAGGGGCCCTTTAAGGAAAGAAAAAAAAAGATCATAAAATAGACGAAGTGAAGGAAGCAAACAAGGACTGGGCCAATCGCACTGAGTGGGCATGAGCCATCATCCCAGGGAAACAAAACAAAACAAAACCAGCTCTGACTGCCAACTGAAGGTTCATGGAAAGGAACAAGAATGTGTAAGTGGACAAAAAAATACGATAGAAGCTCGGTACAAAGATTAGGTAAAAACTTTTTCTGCCTCATGGACGCGACATCGGGTGGAGGCTTTCTTAATAGATTGGGTGACGGCTCACTGATACACATCTCCCCTTTTTCGGTGATCCCAATTGCCTCAAATGCTACTCGCCGCGGTGGCTAAGGCACATGTCTGCTGACCTGCTGGTTACGGGATGGAATCCCGGCTGTGTGGATGCATTTTCGATGGAGGCGAAAATGCTGTAGGCCCGTGTACTCAGATTTGGGTGCACGTTAAGGAACTCCAGGTGCACAGTCAAAATTTCCGGAGCCCTTCACTACGGCGTCTCTGATTATCATGTGGTGGTATTGGGACGCTATACCCCACATATCAACCAATGACATCAAATCACCACGATAACATTAAGAAAAGATGACGTCATATACAGGCGGGGGTGCGTCCGTGCTTGGTGCAACATACGGAAATTTTGCTTTCTGTACCAGTTTTGAAAAAAAATAGCATGGGGTGCTATGCAGGATGATCCGATCTTGGCGAAACTCGGAATTTTTCCGAGTTCCGTCGACAGCCCCGTTTTGAATGAGCCAACACTACGAAACGGTCAAATCCACCCATCAGCGCGCTGCGTTTCATTGGTTACAATGGAACGTGCCATCGCGGTAAGGATGGTCACCTACGCAATTTTCACCTATGCAATCTGTGTGGGTGATGGTCACCAAGACAGATTTTCTAGTTTTCTGTTTTTTGCACTGCCATGATAATGCGTATACCTCAAACTGTATAAATCAGTTGCTTACGTCAAACATAATCAGCTCGGACGTTTCAAATGGTGAGCTAGGGGTGGCCTCCTCACTGTCGTGTTTGGGCTCGTGCGACATCTTCCGCTAAGCTCTTAGAAAAAAAAAATCACTCGCTTGTGAAACAGGCTTTATATGGAGATTTGTGTTACTCCTCTCTCGCGGAAAGGGTTTCATGAAGTACGCGATTGACGATTCACATTGTTGGTGTCATAACCTGTGACTCGTGCTCGTCATACACTCATATCTTCATACGTTGATTTTGGGATATACCAAGCAAAAAAGACGACCGCGACTGCACCCAGACGTATACGTGGCTAGGTAGGTATTTGGAAGAAACAGAAAGAAAGGCGTTCAAGCTGTCTTTCGTTCAGCAACACATGAGTCGCAATCTAAAATTTACTTGCTTGTCAACAATGTATGCCCACCTGCTATAGTTTCGGAAAAGACTGGCAGTATTCAGAATAAATAAATAAAATGTTTGCATTGAGTAGAAACAACTAACTGTTCAGTCACTTTACTATATGACATTTACAAGTTTATATCCACCTTCCCATTCGGCAAGATGCAAGGTCTTGGAAAAATAGCAAGCGAGAACGCATGCTGGAGCACACAGCATTACATTTTAAGTAAGCTACGATTTTGTTCTTGTAAAAGTGAAAATTTCATGACTATCACCACCAAAGATTTATGGAGAGCACACGGCTATGAGGACACCGTTCAATGGGACAAGCGTCCTGCTTTGCGCCTCTTAAAATGCGATTCCCTCTCGGCGATTTGGACTAGGTGAGGATCAACCTCCTGGCCGGCGTCTCGCAGGTAAAAGACGAGCTCTTTCGCGTGACGGGCATCGTCGGGAGCAAGAAAGGCGTACGCCACTCCCGATCTGTCGCAGTGCGACGCGCAGTTCACGCGGTTCACGTAGACGTCCTGCGTTCGCCGGGCGGTCGTAATGGACGACGTAGCGCACGCAGCCGACGTCCACCTGCTGAGCTGCAACGTCGGTCACCACGAGAATGCTCGACAGACCCGACTTGAACGCGTCCATAGCCCGCCGTCGCTCGTCCCTCGTCTTCGCGCCGTGGATGCCGGTGACAGACCAGCCCCGCAGCTGTAGTTCAAACACGGTCTTTTCCACGTTTGACCTAGTCTCGACGAAGACGATGACCTTGTCATCCTTTTTTTTGAGAATGTCCTCAAACAAGGTGACGAGCCGATCCAGTTTGCGAGGTTTCTCACATACGATAACTGTCTGCTCGACCCTCTCGTTCTCTGCCAGCTTGCTGTATCCGATGGTAACCTGGACGTGGTCTCTGAGCAAGAAATCGGCAAGGTCTCCAACCTCCCTCGATGCAGAGTTTGCCAATACGAGCGTCTGGCGATCAGGTCGGACGACGGCAGCGATGGAGCGAAGCGTTTTCTCGAAGCCCATCGCCAACATGCGGTCAGCTTCATCCAGCACTAGAAGTGTACAGCCGCTAATTTTCACCTTCCCTTCCTTCAAGAACGATAGCAAACGGCTAGGCGTCGCGATCCACATCCCGTAACTCGCCTTCTTAAGTATCTTCAGCTGTCTTTCCTTCCAATCACCCGAGCACAGGCACACGGAACGAACACCGGTGTACATCTCCAAGTCCGCAACCAGACGTTGAATTTTCTCCGCCACCTCGAGGGTCGGAACGAGTATGAGCGTAACAAGACCATTGCCAGTAGATGGCTGGTGCACAGCGCGGACGATGGCTGGTACAAGGTAGGCCTGCTCGTTCGCTTGAGCCCGGTTGTGTGAGATCGCGAGGAGGTCCCTGCCGCGAAGTGCCACGGGCCAGCACTGCGACTGCAAGGCGGTGAGAGGGCCGTGTTTGAGAGCGCAGGCGGCAGCTTCGGCGACGCATTCCGGCAAGTTGGCTTCGTAAAGTTGCAAAATGGGCGTCGGAACTGCTCGTCCTCTGACGGTGACGTTGTTCTTGCTTCGGAACTCGCTCGTTTCAGCCTGCGTCCGTCGTGCCGTCGCGAAGTGTTCCCTGTAGAAGAGTTGTTCCATGGACGGAGAATCGTGCTCTGGCGCGGGCAGAGCGCTCCGCACCTGACTCTTGGGCACCGGTGGTGGCACTCCGAATGTGTGCAGCCATATGCTATAAGATGAATTGAAATGGTCTCCACGCGGCAGATAGTGTTTGAAGTTTCTGATTCTTTCCAAAGGTCTGCCATCTCCATAGGCCAGTAGTTCCAGTATAAGTTGACGCCCACCGTGTCTGGCAGACCAGTCAGTCCATTGACTCCATTAGGCCCGTTCATGCTGACGATGCTCGAATGCGCGCCGCGCTGGCATCAAATGACTTTCTTAACGTTCCTGCTTGAATTAGGCTGCGTCCAGCCGAGCCCCACCTGGTTATTGTTTTCCTTCAACTTAGGCCCACACCCACTGTGGGGGATGGCCCAAGAATTGAGTGATATCATGAAATGTTATGAAACTTTAGAATAAATGAGGTTATACAATAAAATTGCATATCTTGTATCCAGTTTTTGCTCGGAAAGATGTACCAAAACAAGAAAGCTATTGCTCTCTTTTATTGGTAATAAAAAAAATCAGTACACTATTAAAATTGTACATATATGTCAACACAGATGGGTATTATTATGAATTAGCTAGTTAACCGATTGGTTTTGTTGAAATAATTCCGCACAGCCACGCAAACTTTCCCATTAGAAAAATTCGGCAGATCCCGCGTACAATGGAAATCGATGTTACGCGATGCATGTGGATGCAAGGTGAATGCTTTAATTTTTTTTATTATTGAGCGAGACGTCATGAAGTGGGGCTTAATATACTCGTACGTACGAAGCCGTGCACGCTCACACATAAGTTAAACAACCACATATCTAGTCGTTTGCAGTTGCGTAGCAATGCCAACGGCGACATGAATATTTCCAACACCAAAAGCGGTAAGCCGATATGAAGCGCTGGTGTTTGCGTTGGGGCTCAAGAGGATGGTGGCCTCTGCAGTCACTGCTTGCCGTTTCAACAGAACCGATACAGCGGCATTTGTGCCACCGCGGACCGCTGCGTCCAATGCTCCCACCTATTAGAACACTCGTTCTTGATCACGTGTTAACTGTGGCACATAACCACTTCATGCATACTTCTGCATCGCCATCAGCCACTGCTTGAAAAAATGCACGAAATTTGCAACAAGTGTGTAGCAGAAACCGCGTACGATTTCCCACAGATTGGATAGCATAGGGAATGCTAGCCTACAACAGAAAATTTATGATTATTTATGGCGCCGTGAATACCCAGCAGTGTCCTTGTAGCCTCCCAAAGAGTGTTTAGAAAAGGCTCTGAAAGGCCGCTTTTACTAGCTTTTGTTGCGACTGTGGTGCGCGTTCCGTGTAGGCCTGGCGTTTTTTTAACACGCTTAAAACGCCAAGTGTCATAGAAAAATTTTAACAGATGTGCATTAAAGTCCTTCCCACGTTCCCTCACCTCCTAAAAAATATGAAACAGGTGTTTTTGTCGCCATAACGAAACGCACGGCCGCAAGCGCCCTGAGCATTACGGCGCTACAAGGCAGGCGCCGCCTCTCTCTGCCCTGAGCAATATGGCCACCGCAACATCACTTCGATGACTTCGATACATGGGCGGGTATGCGGGACCGCCACTCCAGAATCTTTAGTATAACCTCCTTGCTTTGGACCCCCCAACCATCATAGAATTAAAATACAGTCTGTATATTAACTCTATCCCCCTCATATTCTAGGTCACTTCAGCTAGGCGCTGCACATCAGCGAGCGTAGAATGGAATGATGGGTAGCACACGGATATGCCTAATCTTCGTTCTTCTGTCTCAATTTGGCTTCGCGTAACTTGGCGCTGCTTCGTCACGAAACGAAAATTGCAAAACGTTCTGCAGTTGCACTTTACCACCTTAACCTTTTTAGGCTCACCAAATGGGGCGACGAAATTCACAGCGGTTCGTTCTTTCACCCGAAAGAAAAGCAAAACACAGCAATGAACAATGGAACATGTGTGTTCGAAGCCCGCAGGCACGAAGACTAGGCAAATCCCAGTACCACACATCATACCCACGGTCGCTGAACAAATGCAGCACCAGTCTCTCCTCTAGTTAATTGTAGAAAACTCTATGCAATATAGTTTATCAGAAGTGGGAAAGAGACGTGAGATCGTAAAAGCCTAGGCAAGCCAGGACACGCTAGGTGGCCACTAGCGCTGCTGTGAGCTAAAGTCACTATATATGCTATCTTTAGGGTAGCATATTCTCTTGATTATCTGTTCACACCAACATACGGCTCGAATCGTCAAGACCATTGGTTGGTTGCGAAATTTTATTGAGGTCCTGCAAGGCGCGCGTCAGCGCGCAGCGGGCGACTCCCACGTCGGGACCGTTAGGCCAAGCCTATCGGCCGCTCCGCGGGCCTGCTGGACGGCCCAAAGTTGGTCGGCCAGGAGGGAGCTGCGTAGGGCCGCCTCCCACCTGACCGATGTAGTGTTGGGGTTGGTGTACACTGCTTTGCACTCCCAGAGTATGTGCGCCAGCGCGGATACATCCCCATATGCGGAGCAAGCGTCCTTGGGGAACACGTCAGGATAAATAGCGTGAAGGGATCTCAGGTTAGGGTACGTGTCGGTCTGCAGTAGCCCGAGTGTAAGGGCCTGTGGCCTATTAAGTTTTGGATGATGGAGTGGATATAGTATTCGCGCAAGGTAAAAATGTTTTGTTATTTCGTTGTACGTGGCAGGCGCGTCCCTGTTTTCCTCAACCCCGTTGACCCCGAATCGTTGCCCGAAACCGGCGCGATCGGTTAGCGCGCGCGCGGCCTCGTGGGCAGACTCGTTGAGGTTGGGGGGAGCACCTTGGACCTGTCCAACTTGTGCAGGAAACCAGATCAGTACGTGGTGCTTGATACCATCGCGGCCACCACTCTGGAGCACGCGCAGGGCTTTCTTGGAGATTACACCGCGATCGCAAGCGCGAATAGCTGACCTAGAGTCACTATAGATGACCTCCCTTTCACCTTCCAGGATGGCAAGGGCGATGGCCACATGCTCGGCAATCGTCGGATCGTCAGTGTGAACCGATGCGCAGTTGGTGATTTGCTGTTTGGAGTCGACGACAACTGCGGAGAAGGTGTGGCTCCCACGATACGCTGCCGCGTCGACAAAGCTGACGCCATGCTCCTCACTATGAATCTGCTTGAGAAGAGTGGCAGCTCTAGCCCGTCGCCTGCCACGATTGTGCTCGGGATGGACATTCCTCGGTATCGGTGCCACGGTGATGAGGTCGCGGATCTCACGGGGCACCTGTCTCATCTTCTTGTCCACTTCAGCCGGAGAGTGACCGAGCTCTCGGAGTATATGTCTGCCGGTCTGGGAGCTCGAAAGGCGCGCGAGCTGGGCCCGCTCCTGCGCTTCGGCAATCTCCTCCAACGTATTGTGTTCTCCGAGCTGGAGCAGGCTGCTCTGTGCGCGTCCTGATCGGGATACCGAGGGCCCGCTTGGTAATCTTTCTGAGCAAGACGTTGATCTTGTCATGCTCGGCACGCTGCCAATTATGCATGGCCGCGACATATGAAAAGTGGCAGAGCACAAAGGCATTGACCAGGCGGATTAGGTTGTCTTCCTTGAGGCCTTGGTAGCGGTTGGCCACCCGCCGAACCAGCCGAACCGCATTATCCGTCTTGGCAGCGAGCTTGAGTATAGTCTTGCCGTTGGAACCATTGGACTCGATGGTCATGCCGAGGACCCGAATGGAGTCGACTCTGGGTATTGCGCCGCCATCTCCTGTGTAGAACTTAATATCACTCTTCGAGATCGGCTGCCAGTTTTTGGGCTTTGGCCCTCGCCTAGTGGTTTGGTAGAGGAGGAGCTCGGACTTGTTTGGGGAACACCTCAGGCCTGTGGGACGGAGATAATCTTCCATGGTGTCTGTGGCCTCCTGCAAAAAGCGCTCGACTTGCCCGTCACTGCCACCTGTGCACCAAATGGTAATATCGTCCGCGTAAATTGTGTCGTTAATGCCGATACTTGAGAGCCTCTTGGACAACCCGACCATGACAAGGTTGAACAGGGTGGGCGATATCACTGACCCCTGTGGCGTGCCGCGCGAGCCCAGCTAGATCTCCTCGGAGACAAGGTCTCCCACTCTGAGGGTGGCTCTCCTACGGGTCAAGAACGATTTGACATATTCGCAGAATCTGACTCCAAGGCCGAGCTCAGCAATCGACTGCAACACGAAAGAGTGAGTAACATTGTCGAAGGCTTTCTCTAAGTCGAGGCCGAAAATGACCCGCGTGTCTCGAGTGTTGCAGTCGATGACTTGGTGCTTGAGCAGCTCCATAGCGTTTTGCATCGAAAGCTTGGCCCGAAAACCAATCATGGTGTGCGGGTAGAGCCCATTGTCTTCCAGGTACCGAGTCAACCGATTGAGTACCGCATGCTCGGCTACCTTTCCCACGCAGCATGTGAGCAAAATGGGACGCATGTTGCCCAAGTTGGGTGGCCTCCCCGGCTTCCGAATGAGCACGGTGCGTGCGACCTTCCACAGGTCGGGGACCTCACCGCTCTTCCATGCCTCGTTGATGACTTCGGTGAGGAAGTCGATTGACCGGTCGTCCAGGTTGTGCAGGGTCTTATTAGTTATGCCATCGGGGCCCACGGCAGACCTTCCGTTGAGCCCGTGGAGTGCCTGCCGAACCTCTTCGTGGCATATCTCGGCGTCCAGTTCAGTGTTGGCCGGTCCTGAGTACTCAGGGTATGTTGTTGCGTTCGAGTCGACAGGGAGGTACTTTTGCACCAGCTGCTTCAAAACCTCCTTTTCTGAAGAGGACTGCTTGGCTGCGTGCATGGCACGCGCTAGTAGGTTCCGCTGGTTAGTTTTGGTGTTAGTCTCGCTGAGCAGGTGCTTGAGCAGGTTCCATGTCTTGCCATTACGCATCTGGCCGTCTACCGAGTTGCTCACCTCGTCCCATTGCTGCTTGGAGAGGACGCGGCAGTGCTTCTCGATGGTCTTGTTTAGGTCGGAGATTTCCTTGCGCAACCTGCGATTGAGGCGCTGGCCTTTCCAGCGGGCGAGAAGTGACTGCTTGCCCTCGAGCAGGTGGGCGAGGCGGCTGTCCATGTTTTCAATCGAAAGGCCAGTACTAATATTCTTCGTGGTACTTATGACGTCCTCTCTGAGCTGGCTAATCCACTGCTCGAGGCTTGGCCTGGTTGCAGGTAGTGGTCGGTCATTGCGGACTTTGCGAAACTGGTCCCAGTTTGTCCAAGAAAACTCCCGTGCCATCTTTCGGACCACTAAGAACTGTGTCACCAGGACATAATGGTCGCTACCTAAGTCAATGTTCGAGTTGGACCCACTGTACATCGGGGAGATTCTTGATGAAGGTCAAGTCGGGAGTCGAGTCTCTGCAGGATGAAGAGCCCAACCAAGTTGGAAAGGCCTTGTCGGTGATTAGAGTCAGGTCAATGTCAGTCGCGCTCTGCCACAGTTCCACGCCCTTGCTGGTATTGTAAGGGGAGCCCCAAGTGTGGTGCGGAGCATTGAAATCGCCCGCCAGAACCAGGGGGTTGGGACCCCCCAGGTTGACTTCCTTCCTTATGAGGGCCCTGAAGCGCTGTCGATCGGTCCTTAGGGCTACTGAACACGTTGAGAAAAAAAGATGCTACTTGGGTCCGAGCTGCGCGGCAGAATTTCGGTCATGACATATTCGGCGCTGCTGCTGGCCATTTTGAGGTCGTGAGAGATGTGTGTGAGCTTGTTACTGACCAAGGTGCAGACGCCCCGGCCATAAGAATAACGCGAGACGGGCTGGTAACCGGTCAGTGTGACGTTTGGGGTTAATGTTTCCTGAAGCAGAATGACGAGGGGTTTTTCGCTAGAGGATCGAATGTACTGCTGCAAGGACGCCTTTTTACTGGGGAAGCCCCTGCAGTTCCATTGCCAAATGAGAAACGTCTCACTTGGCTTGGCCATCTTGGTGCTTTTGTGGGCTGGTGCTGCCCTCAGATTGGCTAAGAATAGCGTGAACGATAGGGCCCGTAGCGCCGGGCTGGGGTTGTACGACGGCGGCTGAGGTCAGGGCAGGTTTCACTACGCTTTCGAGAAAGGACTCTACCTTGGATACTCGGTCGTTTTGCGCGGCCAGGGTAATCTGCAGTTGGGCGAAATTCTCCCCGAGCTTATTGATGCTTTCACTGAGCGCGGGTAGCGGGTCTCGAAGCTCAGACCTGACTCGAATCGCTACACCTTCCTGTTCGTAGGCGACGGCCCTCTTCTTGGGATCACTTTGACCCTCACTGCTGCTGTCGCGGCTTCAGTGCTGTGCACTTCCATGGGTAGGGGCTTTGTATCGGCGACGCAGTCGGCGGCGGGTTGTGGTGGTGGATTTCTCGCGTTCTTAATCGCGGCAATTTCGGACATAAGCCTGTTTATGGTTTCCCTCATCGCAGCGTTCTCGCGTTTCAGCTGGGAAATCTCGCGCGCACTCTCCGCGAGCTCTGGGAGTGACCCCGACAGTACCTCAGCTGGCCCTCCTCGGACCGTGTCGGCCCAGGTTACAGAGCCCGACTTCTTGCTTCTCGCTGACACCCCGCTAGGCTGCTGTTGACGCCCGGTAGACCTGGATCGAGACCTGGAGCGGCTCCCAGACTTGTAGCAGCCGCGCTCCTCCTCGGGACCCGGAGCGGCTCCTGGACCGGGAACGGCCCCTGGAATGGGACCGAGAACGTCGCCTGGAACGGCCCCCGGAACCACGTGACTGCTGGAAGTCCTGCCCATCCGTGGGGGGGGGGGGGGGGGGGGTGATGGTGGTGCCGTGGCTTGGCCTTAATCGGTGGCACGAGACTTTTCCCAACGCCTTCGTCGTACGACATACGGGATCTGGAATCTTTGCTTACAGTCCTTGTCAGCCGTGAGGTGCTGCCCACCGCACAGCCTGCACTTGGGGGTACACTTGTGTTGTGCGTCAGGATTTGAAGCCCCGCAGCCCCGACATAAGACGTCGCCTGGGCTGGCACACATCAGCACGGTGACCGAGCCGACCACAAGCGTAGCAAATGTCTATTTTCTTGCGGTAAAGTGAACATTGCACGAGGGTGGGGCCGTAGCGTACAAAGTTTGGGACTCTATGACCGTCGAAGGCGATGATTACCGTACCGGTGCTGCCTATGCGCTTTGCTGCCAGGGCGAGCGGATTCCTTTCTTTACGATCCTGTCAATATCATTCGGGCTGTCGACAAGTGGAATACGTCGGATCACGCCCTTCCCGCGAAATGAGGGGCGGCCTCGTAGGCACTGACCTCGTATGTTCAGCCCATGACGACGATCTGCCGAACTTTGACGTAGTAGTTGGCATTTTCCCTTTTAGGTGTGCTGACAACAATAATATTCTGCTGCACGTTGGGGCATAGCGTGTCGCCCCGCAAATCTTCGGCGCAGGTGCTTGTGGCCGCCAGGATTGCATCAGCCACCACGGTGCAGCCGGTCTTGACAACATTGAGGCCCCCGCGGGGCCGAATCACGATCTCGGTATCCTCCCTGGGAAGCTGGGGCATCCGGCCCGCGCGAATGATCCTAGCCTTGATGTTATTGCCACTGTTGCGGCCTCGCGGGGCCTCGGCCGTTAGTCGACTTCGTCTCGTTGAAAGTAGCACCATGAGGATTAGCGCCTGCCGAGCGCGCGCCAACTCTTCTGGCGCCTGCAGACTGCCAACCGCGGTCTTCTGCTACCTCTTCGGGGGTGATGTCCTCCCCCACCACCTGATATTCAATTTTTCTGGAACTAAGCCCTGAGAAGAGCGCAAAGGGCACCCGGGAACGGCGACGCGGCTGGCGTCACGCCACGTCAAGACAATTCACGAAAAATATTAGAATACCGCTACAAAACCCACTCTTTCGGTAGTTCTTTTTTCGTAAAAACAATGCAGGAATGGAACCGTCTACCGGATGATCTCGTCAATGAAACTGATAATGAATCCTTTTTTCTTCCTTGTAACAACGCCGACAATATCACTGCCACTAAGAATGGTTTGTCGTCTCGAAGCGTGTGGGTGTTTACACATGCATGACTGTGACGTTTTCGCTCACCAACATTCGAGTGTTTTTCTTTTTCTCTTGAAATATCTCGAGCGCCGTTGTATCTATTGTTTCGAGTGAAAACTATGTAGTCAATTATACCTACCCTACGTAATGCCTTACGGCGAGGTAGGTGAAATGTAAATAAATAAAAATATACAAACTCTACTGTGAGCCAGATTAGCACGACGCAACACAAACAATGCTAGTTTTTATGTACTACCATATCACTCCAGAAAAGCCTGCCTTGTAACAAATAAATGCGTTGTGTGTCCACAATGCTTAGCTTCAACCTTTGGTGCGCCTGAGCACTCGCATGAACTCTGAAAAAAAAAAAAAGCAATTCATCTACATACATGGAAGAGACCATGCAAGGAAGTCCTCCATGTTTGTAAGAGTAAAAAAGAAGTATTATTGCATCACTCATATTCATGCTTTCAACAAGTGCACTTAAAAAAAAAATTGGCCGCATATATGTGTGCGTCGCTGCAAAGTGTGCTTTGCTGGCTGTACTACAAAAGTTTTGGTCTCGTGATGCTGTTCTCCTACCATTTCCATCTTGCCAGGTGGCAGCACCTATCACCGACAGAGGACTTTTTCGTGCATAGCGTCGCATTTTCAGCGTAGCATAGGAATCACTAGGGTGGCTCTTAATTACGGATCCTAATCACTCCTAATGATGTATCTACATACTTTCTAGCAAAGGAACACAACACCTAATACTTGCATATTGATTTTGTGCCTCAGATATGCATACTAATTTGCTTTTTGATCAACAATGTTCACAAGTACAAACGAAGCGACCATTTCAAGATGACTGGGCGTTCAGCAACAGCTTAAAACTTGGGCTGGGTGGCTGAATCGTGTGACTGACAGACCAAAACTTCTCCGTTAAGTGGCCCAAGAAGGACTATAGTCTGAAAAAAATCAACAAAACTGTGGACTGCATTTGTGACCTTTATTAGGATATTGAGTTTACATATCACAACACTATGGATTTTTTTTTTTGAAGTCTAGTACACAGTTTTCAAACATGTCACTTTTCAACTGTTCCTTTTTTCGTGTTTTCCTTTTTTCATTTTTTTTTTCAGCCTGTAGGCTCGAGAAACCTGATCGCAACAAAGAAACGTGTCATGAGAGAGATTTCTTTCTTTTCTGTTAAAAAAAATATGAAAAGAACACAAAGTAGAAAAACATTAAAACAAGGATGGTCTACGAGAAATACAGCACATAAATCAGAGGCAGTATTTTTCTCTTGTTGTTTACTAACACTGTCATCATTCGTTAAACAAAGATGACACTTCTTTCGCACCAGTTTTCCATGTCCCAGCCATGTCCTGTTTTTTGGATGACTAGCATTGCAATGGGTTGGTGGAGACAAACCCAACGTGATACAAGGAAAAACCTTTTTCAAACCTGTTTTCTCTTTCTTACTCGGTTTTGAGAGATAAAAAAAAAGAACCTAGCAACACACATGCATACAAAAACACAGACACTGTTAAAACTGACAAAAAAAAAGTTAAAGAACAAGATCACAGTTGGAAAAATGTGCAGGTCATGAAAAATGCTGTGAAGGTTTCGGAGGGCAATACAACAGTCCCATGGTCTAGGTTTTAAACTTCGCTTCGATTAACTTTCAGCTCGATATATATGTTTCTTAATCAGTGGAACACATGCAAATTAGGCAAAGGGTAAAAAAAATAAAACATGTGAGGCTTTAGTAATATTGTACTAGTTTTCTGCAGTCTGCAACAATATTGTCCAACTTTTTTTCAACAATAAATGCCCTACTACATACAGCTGCACTCAATTTGTTCAGATTAATAAGAAAAAAAAATACACAACTAGCTGCATCGCTGAGATTAGACCAACAATGGCTCAAAACACCACTGCACAAAAAGGAGGCAGGGCCAGGTAGTGTCGACGGTGGCCCCATACGCGCCCATTTTGTTTTCACACAGGTTGACACAAAACCCCCTTTGCAAGGTTGACAATGATGCAGCTTAAAAAAAAAAAAAAAACAGATGAAACCACCGTTCTAGACAAAGTTCACGATGGCAACGTCAACAAATGTGGCTTCTTAGTGAAACATGTCCAGTCGGCTGTCACGACTACGAGGACTGTTTTACATTTAGAAATCAACACACCAGAATGTTAATTACTCTGCAAGCAAGAATTGTGCAATTGTGATGAGACAGGGCGACAACAGCGGGCGGGGCATGTGACCGATGCATGCAGTCACAAGTGAAGTCTGTTAGAAACGCCCACTGCAACGAGTAGGATGATCATAGCAGCCTTGCTCAACTGCAGTTTTGCTCACAAGCTCAAATTTGTCCTTGATCGTAGGCGTGAAAACTCAGCAGCATGGATTTCACGCAGCTTCTAAACACCCGTAACACAACGGCAATTCGTGCACTGTTCCCCTTATCAAGAAGAGCAAACGAAGTTCTTGAAGTTGTTCCATCAGCCGTTCACTTGGTCGATTCTAACCAGTGTCAACGTTTCTTTCAACAAAACCACGGAACGCTCGATTCATCAACACATTGTATAAAGCTGTCGTTCACAAAAGTTTCGCACTGGTCATAGTTCTGCATAATACGAGATGGTACAGAGTGCACATCCACTGGTCACATGCCTTTTTGTAAAAGCCAATCACCCGGCGGTGTACTCAGTGACGCAGATGCAGGTATTTAAGAACAACCGTTCAAAATTCGTCCCCAAGTGACATCGTATCAGGTCAGGGCACAAAGATTTTGGGATGAAAAAAACAGTTAAGCAAGGCCGAACAATTCGAAGGTTACTGCAAGTGGGACGGTTGTCACGATCTCCGCTACCAAGAAAAAAAAAAACTGAAAAGGTATGTTCCAAGGAATATCTTACCCGATACATGAGGAGGTGAACACTGAAGAACGAGTAGACCTGGATGACACAACGAAAAATGCGACGGGATGACGAACATAATCGTTAACACGAAAAACAAAGGTAACATAAATTCCACCCCTCTTTCCCATCTGCTCGCATATATACATATATATACATATGGCTATGTACATATATATATGTATATATACAGAGAATGACACCCCCCACAAAAACGGAAGGGCCACAGATGTTGGGACGGACCTTTCGAAAAACCAAAGCGCCGCCTACAAATAAGATGAAAGGAGGACTCAACGACGTAGGCAGGGAAGAAAAGAAGGGACAAAACGGTGAAGTCGAGGAAACGAAGCTGGAATCGCCGCTTCCTCATATTCCCTCCAAGACAGGACGAACAGGTGTGTCTGGCAAAACGTTTTGCACTAAAGGCATATCAGTTATGGAATGTCATTTTCTTTTCCTGTCGTCCCACCTGGCTATGAAAGGTCGCGACGGTCTGGAATTAAGAAAGAAAGAAGATGAATTGCAGGATCCACAACTGGCACACGTCCAGAGTTGGGGGCTTTGGAAGGTGCGGTGGGAGAGCACTATGCGGTATATAAGTAAGATTCGCGAATTATGACACCCATGAAAAAAAGAATGGTACAAAAGCGGGGTACGACACATGACACGGGAGGGGAGACTGGCGGGAATAATTTTACACGAATTTCATAACTGTTGACAAGCATAATGACGTTTAAGTTAAGCGCCTAGTGAGAAGCAACGGGGAGGTGATGGGAGGCAGTGGAACGAACCTAAGAGACAGCGGGAAAAAGACAGGTGGGAGCACGATGAAGACGACGGGAGGTAAAACTTCACAGCATCTTACACCGTCTGCATCTTTTTTTTTTCTTTTCCTTTCCTGTTATCGGTTACAACACAGGCCCCGTTTCCAAATTGCACGCCCCGTGAGGTGCTACGAGGAGACAGAGGGACTGTTCTTTTCCGCCGGGCGACTTTGAGAGGCGTGCGAGCGAGAAAACGAACCCTCGTGCAAAGTCGGGACGGCAGGGCCTGTAGTAACACCGACAGAGCGTGCAGGGGTGTGCCCACTGCTGCGGAATGTGTACTGCATATACCAGTTTTGCGAAAGAGACAGAAAAGAAAAGAAAAAAGAGAGACAAAGAGTTTGGTTCCGACCACGCCTACACGCCTCCTGTTGGGAAGATGCGAGACGGGGAGGTCAGCAGCACGGTTCGGACGCGGGCTTTGTGTCTCCTGAGTCGGGCGACCGGCAGTCATCTTGGAATTTTTCTTATTGCCCGGATGAAAGGCAGAGAATGGAAGCAGAGTGTTAACGGCACTTGGCCCCAGTGAAGTTGTAAGGTGCTATCAATTGACATTCTCTGTAGTGCCACTTCAATGCTAAGATGAATGGGGCTTCATGACTGTTAGCTTTGTGCACAAATCTGGTGGTTCCAACTTTAGCCATCCCACCATTACTTAACGTTTTTTGTGATTGGCACGTGTTGCTTATTCGTGTGCCAGCTTGTTCAGTGAAAGTGCTTTTTGGCATTGATCACACTTCAGCAAGTTCAGGCTAGTGACATGTGCTCCGCTTTTGTGATGTCTGCTCGCGCCGAGAAATGCAACAGGGCACATGGCCGAAACACTAAATCAACAAGGCCAGAAGGTCAACATGACTACCGTCGCATGTGTGTATCACCGCCCCCAGTCAACGGCACATGAGACAAGTATGCCGACAAGTCTGAGCATCGTAAGTACACCGGGCGTGTCCCATTAGCTACACTCCGCGCAGTGGCCTTTCATCCCGGGGACAATTTGAGATTCGTTGACCCGGCGGTTGTTTTGCACTGCCGACGGCTTCTCGAAGTTGGGAAGGTGTGACTTCGTTCCTTCACTCACCCTTGGCGCACATGTCACCGCTGCCTGGCCTCCATGCCACGAAGTCCACGCAGTGCGAATGTGCAGCAAGTGTGCGTGCGTGCGCTGCTTCACGCCTCTTCGTGTTCTTGATTCACCGAATCGGCTGTGGGCCACGTGAAAGAGAAAAATCAAAGCCTTTTTTCACACCGGGGACTGCCAAAGGTGCCCGACTGCCACGGCGTGCGGACCCGTCTCCCAACCTTCCGCAATGAAACTGAGGAAGCAAGAAAAGGTGTCTGAAGAACGAAACGCGTAAGAAAAAGGCCGAACGTCGCTAGAGTACGGTACCACGAGAAATCAAGCCAGCAGCAAAAAATGCGGATGCCGGAAGGAAACCAAGGAAAAACAACACCAACCAAACGTTTAGACGACGATGCCGAAACCAAGTTCTTCGTTTTACGCTTTCAGTGGTTTTGTCTCCCTTATTCGCATTTTTTTCCTCTTCCGAGCAAGAGTACACGCGCAGTTAAGACGCACACAAAAGCACAGACAAGACGAGAAGACAGTGAACCTTGTTTCCTAAATCGCGCTTTCGCTAGATTACAACGACGCGACGATCTATCGCCGCTGTCCGCGACTACACAGGGGTCGCGGACGTCGGCCCTAGGTCGGCTTAGGTTCGAGCTTACTACACACTCACGAGATTGGTTTACGTTCACAAGCTACAATAAAAACGATAAAAACTACCGAGAAAGATAAATAGAGTGAAGAGAGTCTAGACTCCTCAGGAGGAAGAAGATTAAGGTTCCCAGTGCTAGCAGGCAACTAGGCTCTACACACAAACAGCCTCGACCATTCTGTTGAGATGTGGCAAAGCAACGGAATGCCTGTCGACACTGTCTATTTGACGGTGCGGTGGAGCCAAAAGGCAATGGCTCCGCCGTTTCTGCTAGGAGCCTTGCCTCAACCAGAGCCCAAGCGAGCCCACTCAACCACTGCAGAAGGCGAACCAAGCATTTCGATTACGATGCAGCATGAAAACTGCCATCGAAGGAAGCTGAACTTGGTGCCTCAATGAGCAATGGGAGTAAGTCCCTAGACTGCCGATTGTGGAAACCAAAAGCAGTTTCTTCGCAAGCAGTCAACGGTGAGGGAAACGTAACCAGCGGCCGACGAAAGAATACAGTGTCAGGATACAAAGCTTACTGGTGCACTTATTATGCCTACAGAGAGGGCCCGCCTAACCCAAATGGGAAAGCGGCCGCAGCGCTACACGTGCAACTAACAAGCAGGTTAAATAGAGCCAGAACGCACATGTGTGCCTTGCCCGGGCACGCACGTACCGGTAACATGAGCAGCATTCACAGACATCACGTGCACACGACACAAGAGAAGGGTGCGGGTGAGTGGAGAGTGAAAGAGATACGCTCGAGCGTTCCAGCAGAGATGGCTGCTGCTGCCTCGGAGAAAGGTCCGCGCTAACGCTGTTAAGTATGTTCGGTCCAGACCGCCTGCGTTCCGCACCGACGACTCAGTCACAGCCCATCTTGCTGCTGTCCGACCGTTTTTCATGTGCACGGAGTGCATGCGATAAGCGCAAAAAAAAAAAAAAAGCGCGTGTACCATGGGGCACAAAGTCCCCCACCCGACGTGCATGCTTGTACGATTGCTCGTACCTCGTTGGACGCCGACGAAACTGGCCGGGCGGCAGTCGTCGGCGCCTTCTGCTCACAGCGACCCTGCACGTCACCGGATACGGCGAAGGAAGGGAGGTCGTGGCCAGTGGCGGCAGCCATCGTAGCGCACGCCTGTCGTGGTGTGTGCCCTGTGCTGTTCCCCGCTGCACATGCGGCAACACGACGGCGGCAGCGCGCCAGGCCTTCCACAAGCAGACGGGAATTGGTGGCACCATCTTGTCGGGAGCCACGTACCAGGACTCCGACAAAATGATGCTTGCCTTCTCGGCCGACCAGACCACGCACCTCTCTCTGTCCTGTACTGCGCCCCTGTCACGGTGCATTCGGTGATCGCAACCACGCAGACTGCGACCGCGGTGGTCGCCTCAATTCACTCTCATTTTCATAGCGTCGCGCCAAAATCCTTGCTCTGAAAGGATCGCATGGTGAGACTGCTCTCTCCCTTGAGAAGGGACACTTCTGCACATCTATCTCTCTGCTCGTCTTTTTTGTTTGTTTTTTGGCACATCCTGTTTTGACTTATGCTTATTTTGTAGAAGTGCGTCCGAAGAGTATCGGCGCGGGAGAAAAAGCAAAAAAGGTGTACATACAGAGTGAAACACAGAGGCTACAACACAAAATGCGCATTCAGCGTCGGTGAACACACTGTCCAGCCTAAAAAAATGTAGACTGTCACAGCACTTCAGACAATCACACTCTTTCAATACAGCAAACAAGAGCAGACCACACTGAATCAGACTGGGCGCTGAGTTCAGTGAAAATGAAAGCATCGCTGCGTAATAAAGGTGCTGCATTCAGTCATAAGACCAGCTATCATGCCTGCAGCAGTTGATGAGGGGAAAGGCAAAGAAAGACAATGAATGCTGCAAAAATTCTTGCCAGCGCACATTTCTTGAACAGTGAGCTCAGAGCAAAAATCGAAAGCAACAGTACATAAAAACAACGCTCTGGAAAAAAAAAAAGAGAAAGTCAATGCGGGAATCAAAACCAGAATAATAATAATAAAAAAAGATGGATCATGCCAACAATGCCACGGATGAGTGTGGGAGGTGTCTGCACAGGTCCGACGAAATAGCGCCAGACACGTACAATGAGGGTCAAACGCCTGTTCCGACGGTGCGGGAGATGCGTCAACTAAAAACAGGAAGGCGATGCTCGACATCACCGCGCCTATGTACAACGTGACAATACATGCGGGTCTCGTGAACCAGCAGGCATTAAAAAATGCGGGGCTCAACACGTTGCCTTCGAAATGCACCCCGCACAATTGGGTGTCTTTGCTCGACTCTTGCAAAAACTAAAATGGCATAGATGAGACTACAACAATAATAATAATAAAGAAAAGAATGCAATGTGAGAGTGACATATATGAAGAAAAAAAAACACACACACAAGACGCCATAGGGGTGACACCTATGCTGAACAGCTTGCAAGACGACTTTACGAATGAATAGACATGGCAACAGAACGTAATGACTGTGACAGCATAATGACCATACATAATGTGAAATAGCTGCGCTGCAATTAAAGAAAAAAGCAAATATATACATATGACTTGAAGAGATGATGAAAAAGAAATTGCAATTACAGACAACTTCATTCCGGCATGCCACGTCAGCATGTGGGGAAAAAAAAGGTGGGCAGATGATAATGAACAGACGAAACCAGTTATCGCCTTAGGCAATGACAGGAGCTCTTTTACAGAGCGTGCCATTCGCAACACCTGCAGAAAGGGAAAGGACGTGTTCACATTGTGTTCGAGCGGAACAACACTCTGTTGTCGGCCGTACGAGAGGTGCACAGAAGACGATGAACTGGGTGAAATTTTTAAAGGAAGATCGAGGAAGCGAAAGCAGACAAGCAACAAACATCACTCACTTCGCCCCACTGGAAAACACACGGTCATGGTCAGAAATGTCGTTCCTCTTTCGTGAACAGCACAATGCAGCTGAAAAAAGCCAGCATAGTATCACCAACACGACGCATGCGACAGTACGAGAAAAATGTTGGACTTTGAGGGAACTAACAGAAAAAAAAAAAACTAGATGGGGCCCAAGATTGTGGCAACAAACACAACAAAATAATAATAATAATAATAATCTGCATCCCATAATGCACTGCAGCTCCTGCATGAGTGATGCATGCGGCGCCTTTCAACAAGTAACTCCTCACTGGAAAAGAGAAAGAAGCTTCCAGGGCTATATCTTGAAGTACAATGAGCCCTCGTTAACACTGTGACAAAGTGCGAAAGCTTGCCAGCTTCGCCCCACGAATGAGACTTAGGTTGCGAACTGAGCTACGATATCTACAGCTTAGCCCGTTCCGACAACAAAAACGTGCGAGGCATGCCGGGCTTGTAGAGTGCACCAGGCAAAAACCGTTCGGGGCCTGTCGTGCTTACGCATGGCCCATCTCATTCGTCTTTGTACTTTTGACCTCGAAGAAACACTATCTTGGCTATGTCGGCCACGGGCTTTAACGTACCGGGTTCACACAGTGAGTGGTGTAAAAGAGGCAGATAATAAATTACATTGATAAGTTTATCGAGATTGGATAGTAATCAATATCAGCAGGAGGTAACATATGCATGGCTGCATAAAAAAAGTGCGTTTTTTCAAACGCAAACGAGATAGCTGTGTCATCCAATAGTGGAGAAAAGCAGCACGACGACACTGTTTCTTTTACTGAGAGTGGCCGGTGAACTTCCGCGTGACTGCGGACAACTCACTTTAGTTTATGGAGGCATGTGTTGTAGTGAAACACAACAGCAAACAAAGTGCCCCCTACGGCTACCGTAAACATTACCAAAACAAGCCCATGATATAAAAAGAGGAGCTCACGATATCCATCTGCAGCCCTTACGCAACATCTATGAAAAAACCAAACAAACAAAAAAGAGGGGGCAGTTGAACAACCCTAGCGCTATGATTTCACATAAGAACAATTTGTAGAGGGCATGCAACAAATACAGTAGACTCTCGTTAATTTAAACTCGAAGGCACCTCTGAATTTTGTTTGAATTATGAAGAATTTTTAATCATCAGAACTTCTCAGATAGATGAATTCTGGGTGAGGTAACAACATGCATTATGATTAGACGTTGATTTTATCACATTTAAATATTTTTAAAGTGTTTTCAAGCCCTAACTGCACGCAGTGAACAGATAGCAGAGGTGTAGAGTCCACAAGTTTATTGGCCATTTACTGCTGGTCAGACCTTTTAGAGAAATCTTTTATTGCCAACTGCTTCATTGCTACAGGTATGTGCCTTCAGCACAAAGCTTTCTATACCAGTTGAGAAGCATTACAGTTTACCATGCATGTGCTTCATTTAAAACATTTGTTTACTTGCAAGCCTTTTTTCTTGAAGGCCTCCGGTGTTTTTCATTTTTAGACTGTTACGATTATGTAAGCACACAAAATTTTAAATAGTAGCGGGAAAGCAGCTGATATTTTCTGGTGGACCTACAAAAAAGTATGAATTAGGCTACTGATGGAGTTTGAATTAAGAGGTTTTAAATACATTGAAAAAATAGATGGTCCACCAAAAAACTGAATTTTGTTTCAATTAACAGAAAGTATGAATTATCAGAGTTTAAATCATCGCGAGTCTACTGTATATATTTTTTTAGTGCAATGTAAAGTGCAAAAATGAACTTCCTTACACTGCGCATTTCTAAAATTTCTTCGTCCTCCATGAAAAACAGACACATGCACGTGCTAAGCATACCGACGAAAATATTAGGTGAAGTCAATAAGACAATTCTCCGCTCGCACCACACTGATGACCGCTCAATTCCCCAGAATTCGCACAGCTGTCTCTCGTTGGAATCGTTCATCCAGATAAATCGGGTCTCCCAAGGTGCCAGCGTAAAAGGGCCAAAAAGTATGGCAGCGGGTAGAAGATGAGCACTCTTGCGGTATGCCAGTGTAAAGACCGACAGGAGAAAGTTCTGGCTCTTTGGATGTTCCCTCCACAAACGTTGGCATGTGACCTCCTACCTGAGACAGTTCGAGGTTCGAGTGCTTCCGGACCAAAACCAAACAAAGGAAACAAATAGCAAAGCTGTGGGAGAAACCAGCAGGATAAAATGCGGTGCAAGCAAGGCAGGGGTAGCAGAATGCCTTCAACGAATGCTAGAATTGTGGGCAAGTTCGAGGAATTACACGTAGATTAGTGAATTTGCTTGGAGGGAAACGGAGAGGGTAGAAAGCGAGCATACATGCCGGCAAAGAGTGTGTGTTTCTGAACACGTCGCAAAGTGTAAAATGAACGTGGAGGAATGGTGCGAGTGATGACGGAAGTAATATGGCCATGCGACGATGAGCGCCTGTGGCGGCAATGAGTAGAGATAAAAATCGTGAACTGAGGGAAAAAAAATTGCGACAAATAATGGCAACAATACAACGTGAACCGACATGTAGTCAGCAGGGAAGGGGTAGAAGAAAAAACTAGTGAGGGTAATTTTGCGCGAGAATCAACAAAAAAAAAAAAAGAAAATGCCAACAAACGAGGAACATCCTAGTGAAACATCTCCTCCTCGGGTGGCTTGCGCACCCAACGACCGCGGTCGAGCTTGAGGAAGCGCTCGAAGAGCACCTTCTTGGCGCCCTGGTAGCTAAGCGCCGAGTCCTTGGTCTCGCCGTACGTCTTGCACAGCAGGTCGTCACGACCAAGCAGCTCGCAGGTGTCCTTGAAGAGTGAGAACAGTGATGCCTTGGACACGCGGGACTCGAGGTTGGTGCCGCTCCTGCAAAAGAAAAAGGGAAGGAAAAAAATAGCACCATTGATTAAAATGCCACCTGGTGCACAACGGCAGTGGCGCTGAGCCATAGCACGGGTGGCTCATTTCCCCGCTGCAGCAGCAGACTAACCATGGGTCGTGTCGCAGGCAGCTCAGAAGTAAAGCACGAACAGTGGGACGAGTGGCACATGTGGAGTGCACACTCTTGCAACTGTGGCACAGGCAATGTGCACACGTGCAGTGGGTCCTAAAACTATGCCAGCATAGAGCCCATATTGTGCGGTGCTCTAGTTGCTTCCTCAACCATTTCTCATGCTATCCTTCACCGTAGAGTCAATTATAAGCAAAGTTGCACCAACACATATCGAACTAGTGTAAATCTACATGTCCACATCACAAGATACGAACATCAGTATAGAAGCTCTACGCAAAAGCACAGCTTTTGGTAACATGCATATTGAAAACTACCGGCAGCACAACAAGTGCACAACTGCAAACCTCCCGTCAACCACTTTTTCCAAATAACAGCCGAATCTCGATAATGAGCGTCTCCCGAGGCTGGACACTTAACAGTAACACAGAAACTTCCCGGTACCAATCTGCATCTCCTGACGAAGTGCTCCACCACAGCAAAAATTGGGCGACTACCCACTACAACTTTTTTTCATTCTTTTTGACAAAGCGCAGAAAAGATTCCACCTCTTTCACAAGAGCATCCAATAGAGCACAGGGGCAACGCAAAGGAGCAGATAAAAACTATTGCAGCGTCCAGAACACGCAGCGAATGACATGAGTGTATTTATTTATTTATTTATTTAAAAATACCTTACAGGCTCTATTATGGAGCATAGAGTAAGGGGGGTACATAGGAAAGAATGCTAGTGGGTGATACTTCTGTCACAATACAAAGCAACTACAAAGCAAAGCAACTACAGAGCAACTAATAACTAATAAAAATACAAAGCAAGTAATAACACTGGAACTAATAACAGTGGTTGCACAAATGACAAAGAGGGGCTTCAAGCAACAACAAGAATTTCCCAGCCGCAAAAAAGCACAAAGAACAAAAACAGAAATCAAGGAGGTTATACAATGCTATTGAGATAGATGTATCATTAATTGCTCGCGAAAATTTTCATGATTAGTTAAATTGACAATGACGTCGGGTAGGTCATTCCAGAGTGCTATGGCACGAGGCAAAGCCGATGAATTGAATGATTTTGTTTTTCCAAAGATGCGTGTGATGCTTCGCAGATTGTGAAGTCGTTTAGACAGGCGCAATGGTGCCGTTAGTGGGAAGGGTGGTGGCCTGGACTCGTGAATATATTTATGAAGCAAAGACAGGAGGGCAACTGTGCGCCGTATGTCTAGATGCTGTAATGAAAAGTCATGCTTTATTTGTGTGACGCTCGACGGGCGACTGTAAATACGTGAAATAAACCGTGCCGCCCTGTTTTGCCCAGCTTCTAGCTGGTTAATGAGATAGGCTTGGAAGGGGGACCATGTGGGTGATGCAAATTCCAGCGGTGGGCGAACAAAGGTTAAGTAAGCTTGTTTGCGGACGTTATTTGGCGCGTTTTCGTAGGTTTCGACGTAAGTATCCCAGTGTTCTTGATGCGTTTGCAGATATGTAGGTTACATGTGCCGCCCAAGTAAGATTCGAAGTGAAATGAATGCCGAGGTACTTATACGAAGACGACCGTGACACGTTGGAATTATTTATGGAGTAATCAAATTCAACAGTTAATTTTTTTGACTAAAGGATATTACATTACATTTTGATAAATTTAAAGTCATTTGCCATGCACCACACCAGTTGTTAATGAGATTAAGGTCTTTTTGGAGAGCAAGGTGGTCATCGGTACTAGTTATAGAACGGTATAGAATGCAATAGTCAGCAAAAAGCCGTATTGACGAAGAAATATTAGTTGGAAGATCATTAATGTAGATTAGAAAAAGTAGTGGCCCCAAGACGCTACCCTGAGGCACTCCGGAGGTGACATCGGAAATTGGAGAGGAAGAGGTATTAACCAGAGTGAACTGCTTTTGAAAAGACAAAAAGTTACGGATCCACGATAAGGTTAGCGAATCTAAACGAAGTTACTGTTAATTTTTAAATCAGACGGGAATGAGGTACGCGGTCGAATGCTTTAGAAAAATCTAGGAAAATGCAGTCAGTTTGTAAATTATTATCCATATTGAAGTGAAGATCAGTGGTAAATTCCAGTAATTGGGTGTCGCAAGAAAAACCTCGCCTAAATCCATGCCGATTCTCAAAAAAGAAGTTATTGGTTTCCAAATGACAATAAATGTGCGAAGAAATGATATGCTCAAGCATCTTGCAGCAAATGCACGTTAGTGATATGGGGCGATAATTTTCTGGTGAGTATCTATTGCCACTTTTAAATAAGAGAACTACTTTACCTATTTTCCAATCAGCCGGCAGTTGTCCTGTTGATAAAGATTGCGTGAAGATGTGGTACAGGATTTTACTTGAGCATAATGAAGTGTTTTTGAGCACCTTAGAATTAATGTTGTCAATGCCTGAAGAAGTTGATAATCTAAGTTGTCCAATAAGATTCGCAATCCCTTCAGTGCTGACAGCAATAGGTTCCATGAATGTATAATCAAACTCTGGAACTTCTGGCACTCTGGAATGATCTTCACACGTGAACACAGATGAAAAAAAAAATGAGTTCAACACTGAAGCGCTGTCTACATCTGATAGTGGCATATGGTTAGCATCTTGTATACTGACAGATGTGATAGCATTGTGAGGGGAAATTACTTGCCAGAATTTTTTCGGATTAGTATTTAACATGGAAGGTAAATCGTGTGTAAAATATTTAGATTTTGCTTTGCTTACAAGAGAGCAGTACTCTTTCAAAGAACCCTTGTACTTTTCCCAATCTGAAGGGCTCGAAGTGCGTTTTGCAGTTTTGTAGAGCCCCTTCTTCCTTGATCTATGAGACTTAAGCGTTTTGTTAAACCAGGGATTTTTATTGTCGTTAGAGATAGAAATTAGAGGAATATATTTATCAACCAAAGTAATGATTTTGTTTTTGAAGAGAATCCAGTTTTCGTTGACTGATCGGTACGGGAAAGATGGAAGAAAAACCTGATCGTAAAAAGCTTTTAATTCATCATTTTTACCTTCGTAATTACCTCTGTTATAGTCCCGAATTTTTTTAACAGTGCTATGTAATACGTGGGTTGGGAGGCTAAGTGTTATTTGAAGTAGCTTATGGTCACTGAAACCATTTACGTGCAGAGTAGAACTAACAGTCTCATGAGCATTAGTTAAAATTAAGTCTAAAATGTTTGTACCACAAGTCGGTTCCTTGACAACTTGAAACAGGTTATAATCTAGGGTTAGGCTTACAAATTCCATTGCTTTGTGGCAGGTAGATTTAGGAGAGACCAATCAATCTGGGGAAAATTAAAGTCGCCGAGTAAGTATATATTATCAGGAGAGCATTGCCGAATCGCGGAATCAACGCTTTTGCGCAGCTCTTCTACAAACGAGTTATCAGAGTCGGGAGGGCGATAGCAGACACCTATCAATATTTTTGTTGCTGGTGTGATACATGCAGTCCATACAATTTCAATAGTGGAGTCTATATTGACGCAAAAGGATGACAGTGTTTTTTTAATAGCTAGTAGAATGCCACCGCCTCTTTTTTTATCGCGGTCATGCCTAAATATCTTGTAGGCGCTGTTATCGGGGAGAAGCTCGTGATCGGGTATATCAGAATGAAGCCAAGTCTCTGTTATTGCTAAAATGTCAGGGTTACTATCTTCTAAGAACGAGCAAAGCTGATCGCGTTTGGGTATAAGGCTGCGTACGTTAGTAAAACATAACTGCATGAATGGTGACTTGTTATAGTAATCTGAACACTTAGGTCCCGTTGCGTGCGCATGCTTTCTTTGCTATGTTTTGTGAAGTACAACGAAATCCGTTGCGTGATCATACATGTAGGTCTCGTCATCAATGCGCAGTTTGTCCACTGACAACTTTATTGGCTTTTTTAAGGGGGGACGCGGCTTTGGGATCGTGAAAAATGGCAAAAAAAATCGATTTTTTGAAACTCAGGTTTTCCGTTTCTGGAACCCTTTTTCTATCTGGTTCCAAAATATCTACACTGAAAACCGTGCAGAAGTGCTTCAGAAAATTTGTTTCACCCACCTAGGTAGCAAAAACTTTTATGGAAATGGCGAGAAAACGGCGTTTTTCAAAAAAATTATAGCTTCACGATACTTGGGCCGGGAGCCGGCTTCTTGGGCTCATCGGAAAGAGCATTTCTCCGTGTTTAACTTTCCCGCCTAAGCTGGCTCCTCCCTTTAACAACAAGCGAGCAAAAAGCAAATGTTTGAAGGTCGTTTTGAGGCCCTTGATTGGCCGTGGCCGCCATGTTGCCTCAGCTCGCCTCGCCATTGGCCCAATGCTCGCTCCGGGAGATTGTCTTCTGCTGCTTGTGCGTCGCGAGGACATGGCTCTCGAAAATCGCCACTTCGTGACGTGTTCACGGCTTGATAATCACTTAAGATATAAATACGCTTAAGATATAACTACGAGCAGTAAGCGGATACGCGATCAGGTTACTACGAGCATCAGCGCGGTCTACGAGCGCCGCGCGTCATTTGAGTCGTCTTTAGCCCTAGCTCCGCCGACTGCGGGCAGGAACGACGCGCTAGCGCATTCGTGGCGACGTGCTTCTTCGCAAGCAATGAAGCTGTAAGCGGCGGCACGATCTGATTACTACGAGTGGCCGCACCGGATGCACGATCAGATTACTACGAGCGGGCGCGCGGCGGTCTACGAGTGCGGCGCGGCATCGGAGTCGGCTTTAGGCCTAACTCTGCTGACAGCGAGACTGCGGGCAGGAACGACGCGCAAGCGCACTCTTGGTGACGTGCTTCTTCGCAAGGAATGTACCACATCACTCGCTAGCTCCTCTGAATATTGTACGGGCATTTTACGCATCGGCAGCGGACAACACAGTCAA